TCTGGTGACGAATAAAAACCACTGTAAGAACCACTTTCCACTAGTCGATGTGGAGTCCAGGGTCTTAAAAAGGCTGCATCTGCAGAGCAAGTTCCAATATCACTATACAACATTATTTCAGTTATAGCAAGGTTAAAAATGAAAACAAAAGAAGGAATTGAAATATGGCCCAAGTAATATGCGACTTGAGAATAACATTTATATATTTGTATGGAACATTCACTCTGAGTTTTTCCAATTTTCCCACATAAAAAACCCATAATCATTCCCTTTTTACTTTTACACAAGAAAAAAAGAAGATAACTTCAATGTTAGCAGCTGATAGACGTATAAAGTTGGCTGAAATTCTAATAATAATCTTAATTTAGGTATTACATTCTCTACAAAATCTTTTGGCTTACTATGAGAGAAATTTCCATTTCAGATTAAGACTTTTGGATTTTTAACCATTAAATAAGTATTGCTGAGGATTTCAAAATTAATCCTGTAAACACGGAAGAAATGAAGTTAATTCTCAGATTGAATTCAGAAAATTCACAACCAACGGAAGAACATAAAAAAGCTGCTCCCCTAAGCATTGTTTCATTTTTTACCTGAATTTTTAGATGAAGCAAATGGAGAAGGCACAGTGTACCCAATTTTTAGTCCAGCCCTCTTCCTCCTTTTCTGAACAAACCACACAGCCATCACAAGAAGACTGAGCACAATAAACCCAACAAAAATGCCTATTGCCACAGCCCCTCCAGTGCTTAAACCACTCTTACCAGAGGATGTTGCATTGCCAGATACGCCATTAGTTGACTTTGCAGTTGGTTTTTCTATTGGAATTGTGGGCAAAAGTGCTGAACCAGGACTTACAGTTGTTTTCGGAGTACTTGGAGTAGCTGGAGGTGACACTGTAGGTGGTGAGGAGGTTGAGGGAACCGAAGTCGGTGGGGACGATAATGTGGGTGTTGCGGGAGACGTTGTGGGAGGAGAAGACTTAGAGCCAGATGGTGAAGGTGTAAGTGTAGGAGGAGGTGTGGAAGAGCTTTCAGTTGGTGGTGATGAAGGTGGAGATTTTGTGGAAGGCGGTGTTGGAACATTAACCGGGGGAGGTGGGAACTAAAAATTATTTGTGGCGGTGGTGAAGGTGGAGATTTTGGGGAGGGCGGTGTTGGAACATTAGCTGGAGGAGGTGGGGAACCTAAGATTATCTGTGGTGGAGGTGGAGTTACAACCGTTGGTGCTGGTTCAACTTGTGGAGGAGGAGAGCCACTTGATTTAGTTGGTGGTGGTGATAAAACCGGAGAGGGTGGTGAATTATCAGCAGGTGGAGTAGATATTAGCAGTGATGGAGGTGGGGATGCCGGAGGGGATGGATGTGGAGATGAAGCTGGTGGCGGCGGTGTTGACAATGCTGGTGGTGGTGATGGAGTAGGAGCAGTAGGGACATCTGGAGGAGGGGATTGAGGTGGTGGGGATGACGAATTTGATGGTGGTGAGGATGTTGGGGATCAGTAGTTTGATTTGGCTCAGATGATGTAGGGGATGGCGAAGTGCTTGAGGAATCAGAGGAAGAGGTAGGAGGTGCTGGTGGTGGCGAGATATCACTAGAAGCTGGTGAAATTACAGAAGTTACAATTGAACTCATATTTCTCTAAATGGTCAACACTACAATATCCCCTACAATCTCATATCCGATTTAGAACATTCTCAACATCCAAATCTCTTATTGTTCCAGAAAACTATATTTATTCATGATTTCCACAGCACAATATAGCAAAAGTCGAGCCATTAAATGCCTATCAAAGATCTTTGGCCAAAGTACAAAGAAAACACCCAATACAAAATGATCCAACAAATCAATCAACCAACGCCCCTTCGTGATCTCAACAAAGATTGCACAGTCCGGCAACCTCAAAAATCCAAACTTCACAAAAGAAAAGAGAAAAAACCCCAACTCTCAGAGCCTCCAAAAAGCAAAAAACCCAGATCACCAAACTCAATTTTAGAGATCACAACAATGAGTTCCCACTTCCAAGCAACATCCAGAACGAGAATGCAACTGTTAATAATAATCGAAATGCAGCATTATAGGATGGACGAAACTTTGCAAATAAGGAGAAGAAAAAAACGAAGGAGCTCAAGTGTTAGAAAATGCTTACCTATATTTCCAAAAGCTGAAGAAAATTAAAATGTTGAAATAAAAAAGCACACTGGTAGATGGTGGTATTGATTTTTTTTGTTTTTTTTTTTTTGCAAAAAAACAAAGAAAAAGAAAGAAAGCCTTTTTCTTTTGAGAGAATTGTAGATAGAGATATAGAGATAAGAGTGAGCCCGCAAATGGTGCAAAGGAAACGTGGGAGCAACTTGGAGCCTTCAGCCTGTACTCAAAATCAAGTCTTTTTCATCATATGATCGACAAAACAGCGTATAATTCTGCACATGCAACGTTTCCTTAGCAATTTACTGAAATAATTTTTTTTTGAACAAGTACTGAAATAAAATCTTAAAATTTACTAATAAGTTCAGGTTATCAGGCTGCATTAAATAAATTTCATAATTTTAACTCTGTTACATCTAAATGAATTTTTATTTTATTTCATTTATTATCAGATAATATTACGTTCATAATATGAACAAGAAAATAATTTATAAGAAAAACTACATAAATGATCATTAATATTTGAATAAATTTTTATTTTCTTCATTAAAATTTTAAAAGTAATAAATTGGTCAACAATATTATAATTTGTAACAAATCAGTCACTCACCGTTGATGAATAATACAAGTGCCTACTTGTTTCATTGTTAATGAATAATTTCTAACATTTTGGATCGTATTACTCTTAAAATAATATATATTTTTTTATATAGAACATACTCTTTTCTATTTTCATTCTTCCTTACATTTTATTTTAGTAACAAAATCAAATTTCTAAACTAAATATTCTAATAAGCATTTACCTAACATGTTTTAAATCAATTCCAATAATCTTCCTATCCTCATTTCATCTTATATAAGCATTTAAGGTATAAAACTCCTCAAAGTGATTTCAACGAGCTCTGTCTATTTTATCATGAAATTTTGAATGTGTCTCTTTAATCATACCAAATAAATGTCAACAATCACTAGAACATGTAGCTAAAACGTAAAAGCTCTCAGTTCATTACCCCTCTCGTAGGTACGAATTGTTAAAAAAAATCTAATAACAACTAAATCAAATAATGTACTAATTTTAATAATATATTATGTAATATTACATTTTAAAAATTATATTCTTGAAAATAATTTTATATTTTGTAAATCAAATTAAATAGTGATAAAGAAAAGTATATTTAGCTATAATTAGAGTGACTTTTTTGTTAGATTAAAATAAAAAGGCAAAGAGCGGTCTACAGAAACTCCAAAGCCGTGTTGAGGTTTATCATTTAATTTACCAATAACATGAATATCCCAACAATAAGTCAGCGTTGAGAAATTCAAATGATAATGAAAATATATTATTTGAGATCTGATTCTGACTTCTCATTGGGGATGGGCATGGACATGAACCCGATAGGTTTCGATCTGATTTGATCATGTCATAGTTTTTTTTTAAAGAATTCGGGTTCGGGTCAGGTCGGATGGATTTTTAAAAGTTGATGTTCGGATCAGGTCGGATTCGGGTTTAGGGTAAAAATATTCTACCCAAAAAAAAATAATGTTACCTTATATATTTATGGATAATTATAATAATATCCTTCTCTATATTTTTTTTCCAATTAAATCACTGTTTTTATTAAATAAAAATAATATTATTATTTTGGGTCGGATCAGACCAAAATCAGATTTTATCTCAAAAATTTGGATTGAATTCGAGTCATACGAAGGATATAAAATTTCATATCAGTCAGAAACCCGATCCAAACCCAACCCATGCGCATACTATTCTCTCTTCAACCGCCCATAGTTTTTTGTTGTTGAATGAGCCGTGTTCTCGCTTACAAACTATAAATAGGATTAATTATATCAAATGTCTTTAAATTATCATTTATATTTTAAAACGTTATAATTATTCTTCAAAATTTTAGTATTTTTTAATTAAATCCATGCATCAACTTATTTATCAATTTGAGCATTATATATCAATTTTAATTTGACGTAAAACATGTTTATAACGTGCGAGGTTAAATATTTTATTAACATTTTGGATTAGTCGTGTTACTAATATAATTAAATTTTAGAAATGTTGTTTATTTTTTCTAAGTTTTAACATGTCAAATCCAAGTTATGTATATGTTTAAAATTTCACCTACATATTTTAAATATGGATTATTTTTAATTTGAATTAGCACATCAACTAATGATAATAATAAAAATAAATGCTATTTTCTTTAGAGATATTGAATTCAAACAGCTACATCTAGAGACATTGATGGATCTACCCTTAGTTTAAGGTGAACATGTGCCAAAATCTAAATTTTCTTTGATAAAATGTGATGTTGTCCTCCTATGAGTTCTCGAGGTCGAAAAATCACGTCTGTAAGATGTGAACTTATTGTTAATGTCTAAAAAAAGAACTTTGAACATATATTATATTATAAACCACATTAAATTATTAAAAAAACTTGGTAGATGCAATATTGATACTTTATATACTCAATTAGGTTATTTTAAAATTTAATAATCAATTTAAAATATATATCATAGTGGAGAGATGTCTAATATAATGTTTAGACATTAAATTTCACCCGATATAAATTTATTTCTTTTATTTAAAAAATCGATTTACATCGATTTTAATTTCAATTTAAATGATTTTGGAGTGGAGATGGGTTTTAGATAACTTTTTAATAATTTATGGGCTTCGTTAAGTATAGGTTTGGGATTGTTGGGCTTTAGGTTGTTAAATATTACAAACAAAGGGAAAAAACTGCAAGCATTTGATTATTAGTTGTAGATTAATATTTACACAGTGATTTTGAGTCGGCGGTTAAACTGAAAGAGCAAGATAAATAGTGCCATTTCCCCCTTCCGACTGTTGCGTTCTCAATTGATCCAGAAGAAAAAGAGATCTCTTTGGAAAAGAAAAGAAAGAATGGGAGAAGAAAGAGACGACCCGCAGGAACTGAAGAGAATAGCGGCGGCGGCCTACGATTACGAAAACGATCCAAGATGGGCAGATTATTGGTCCAATATCTTGATTCCTCCTCACTTGTCTTCTCGCTCTGATGTTGTTGATCACTTCAAGCGCAAGTTCTACCAGCGCTATATCGTACGTTTCTCTCTCTAATGTGCTCTGGGTATTTTCGATTTTTCATTTTCCTTTTTTCTTTCTCTGGGAAGTCTTTCTCTTATGTGCTCTTACGTTGATTACAGAATCTTTTAATTGGTTGAATTTCCCATATGAGTTTTTTTTTTTTAAAACATTGTTTGTTATTTCTGGGATTAGTGAATTTACCTATGAACTTTTATTAGTTATGGATAGGGTCTTTTGCTACTCGAGAAAACGGCAAAAGAAATGTGGAATTGCTTTTCCCTCAACCAAATTTAATTTTGTCTGAGAAATTTTAGTTCTTTTTCTTGTTTATGAATCTTCTTCACCTTTTAATGGCTTCATCAATGTAATTTACTAGTTTGTTTCACAAATATTTGAGTTCCTTTTCTCTCTTTAGGCTGCTAAATCTGCAGGAACCTACTTCTATGCTAGATTAATGATTTAGGAGTCTTGTTTATTTTGTCTACTAGCTTTTTTACTCTTAATGTCAATTCACTTCTCGAGCTTTGATGAATTGTGATCTTACTGGCTCCATGGTGCTGGGATTGGAGTCTATAGGCTTTCATTTGTGTTTGATGTAGTTTGCATCATATTTTTCACCCCTTTCACTGTAGTATGATGCTTTGTGTTTAATATTTCATTTTATGCTCAAAAGAAAGAGAATATCTAAAGAATACTGTCACTGCCAACATAACAATTCTAACCATGATTACACTTGTTTCTTATCCTGTTATGCATGTAATCTACTGGTACCACTTAAGTCCAAGCGGTTCAAGTTTTCATTCTTTATACATATATACATTTGATTTTTACATGAATATTCATTTTCTGCTTGTTTCAAAACAAAATTTCAAGTAGTAGAAGCAACAATCGAATTGGCCTTAATTATTTGATGCTACAATGGCCCACATACTTGAAAAGGAGAATCATTGGCAGTGGCTGATCTTGACATTGAATTTTGGGGGAGCCATCATATATAAAGGGAAATTTTAAAATAAAAAAAAAGTGGGGGAGCCATCATATATAAATGGAATTTTTTTAGAAAAATGAAGGGTTATAAAGCAAATTTTCCAAATTCTAGGGGAGCCTAGGCTTTCCCTTGCTCCTTATATGTTCCGTCGCTGATCATAGGTAATTGATGTTAAAATGGTCTACATATGAAAAATGAATCTTGTGTGATGCATACCCTACTTCTATTGGGTGGAATTTGTTTTATCTGTAATGTTGCTTACATTCAAGTTATTGTGATTATGCAAACACTTATAGCTGCTTTAATGCATATCACATTTTAATATTCAAGATCTTCTAGTAACATGTTTAACTTATACACCTAATGATCTGTGGAACATGTTTCATGAACAGGATCCTGATCTTGTGGTAGAGGCGATGCCATCAAGCAAACCATCGCAATCTGCAAAACCTTCTGCTTCATCCTCTACTTCATCATCGGCAGCAGATGATGGAGTTCGACCTCGCAATGCAGGTAAAAGATAATTTTTGATGCAACTCAGACTAGAAAAAGAAACTACAAATTGAAATAAATAACATAGAATTGTATCCTTTATTGTATTTTTTATTCCTTATTAATGAGTTGTTTCCTTCATTGAACTTAACTAAATTTGTCCACTAGGCTCAACCACCCGAAGTTCAGGGGCATCAGCAGCTGGAGGTTCAAATACAAGTTCTGTGCGTTGGGATCGACAAACACTACAATTTTCTGTCAATGCTTGGGTATAACCCTCACCTCCTCTCCAATTATCTGGCGTATCTGCATATTATAAAGTGTCTCTTGCCTTCTTATCATGTTTTTTCAAAATTGTTAATATCTAATTAAAATTATAATATGAAATATTTTCAGTCGTAACATCTGTTAATGGTTCATCTTTCATTTCCTGCATATATTTTTGTTAGGTTTTTTGCTAAAAATATTTCTTGCAGGTTTTCATCGTTGCCGTGCTAGCCATCTTCCCACTTGTTCCTAGAAGTCTTTCCTACAGGGCTTATCGGCTATCATTTGTGGGCACTGCTTGTTCCTCTCTGTACTCTTTGTATGCACTATATGGGGTAAACTTTATTCTACTTGTCATCCATTTGATTTAATACACCATTGTTCTTGCGTTGAATCTGTGCTATACGTTATGCAGAAACCTAGGGCATGGAATTTGCAGGCAGTTCAAGTGTATTTTCAGTCAATAATTGCAACTAAAGATTTTATATACTTAATCTACTGCCTTACATTTGTTACTTCACATCTTTTCCTTAACTGTAAGAGTTCTTTTCTGCCCTTAATATTTTAACTTTTTTTTGTTACTGAATTCACTTTATTGTGTAGTGTGATGAACTAATTTGGATCTTCATTGTAGTTGCTTTGATTCCCATTTTCTGCCGAACACTTGAACAAATCGCGAAGTTCTTAAGGCGTAATTTCAATCGTTCCACCATGTATAGGTATACCCTTATTGAGCTATATAAACCATCAGCTTTACTACAATTTACCAGTTCATCAGCATGTATATATATGTTTTTTTAATTAATTATTTGATCAGACACTTAATGATTCAATTAAGAAATTCATTTATATCATATTTGAAATGTCTTCAACTTTGTGGTCTCTTCCGGTGTTAATACCGAGCCCCTTTGTTTTTACAGGAAGTATTTGGAAGATCCTTGTGTGTGGGTAGAGTCAAACACGACGACCTTGAACATACTTTCTTCACATGCTGAGATTGGAGTTGGTTTCCTTCTAATTGTTTCCTTACTCTCGTCAGTTGCTTAACAAATACATTTTTCCTATTTTGGTTTATTCTACCCGTCAGCCATTCCACCTTCTGCGTCCATTCTAATTTGCTGAAATTTTGTATGAACTTTTGTAGGTGGCAACGTAATATCATACAAACTTTCATGTACTGGCAGGTCTGTAATCTTCTTCTGTAACTTTATTTTTCATTTTTTGTTTATTAGCTCTCTGTTCAGCAGTTGTCTGGAAGTTCGTGACAGGTTGATACAGAACTATTTACCCAGTTTACATATTTTTAAAGAACAAGTAGAGGAAAAATGAATGAATTAATGTGTTTGCTTCCTTGTCCTTTTCCCTCCCTCTGGCAGCTTTTGAAGCTTATGTACCATGCTCCGGTTAGTGCCGGGTACCACCAAAGTGTTTGGGCAAAGATTGGGAGGACGCTTATTCCTCTTGTCCAGCGTTATGTACCATTTTTGAACGCTCCAGTTTCCGCAATTCTGCGATGGTGGTTCAGGTAATGGCCGAAAATAGATGATAGATAGATCAACATGAACCATTGTTTCAGATAACAGTTGAAAAACATTGATAAACATGAACCCTATATGCGCTTTTGTTAGCATAATACTGATTTGGGATAAATGGAGTCGCTCCATCTCGAGTATAGATGGGGATACATTGATTCAGCTAATTACAGATTTTTCAGCCTATCTTGAATTTAAACTCTCATTTTCAATTTACTTCCTCAATTGTGCTCTTAATTGTGATAAAGATGCTAAAGCAAGGTCATTACCTTCCCTGAAATCACGCCAAATATGCTTTTATCATAAACCAAAGAATCTAACTGACTATTAGTCTCTAGGAAGTGGGAGGTGGGGTCACCTTTGCTCTTTCGGTCTTTAAATATTCATCTTTTAAACCAATAAAAACAAAATAGGAAAAAGAAAAAGAAAACCCTGTGCTGTGCTGGCGACGACCAAGACGATGCAACCCAATCTCTTTTAAAAGACAAAGACATCACTTTTCATTTCAGTGTAAACATGATACATGTGTTGCCGTTAAAGAACAAAACCATACATATGCCCAGTAATTTGGTAAATTCATATATGTCATTATCTAATTGATCAGAAAATAAATAAAAATTAATTAAACCCGAGATGTCTAACTAAAATATCTAATGCTCAATCTTATTCATTGCGTGATTGAGAATAATTATTAAAAACATTTTTGTCTTTTTATACGATCTTTAAATAAATTATTAAACCCCACACATCTAAACATCAAAATTTCATTTTATAGAACATGTATAATTTTACATCACTATAATTATCATTAAAAAATATTCTTAGTTTTCTCCACTGTCGACCGTTGGTATTCTTTATAATCATTTTATTTTTTATATTATATCTTTATTTTTTTTTATTTTCAATAAGTCTGTATATATGGTACGATTTCATTTGTCATTAGGACACGTTTTTTCCTTCCTTTTCACACGTTTTTCGGTCATTTGACCTTTGTGTCCACATATCTTTTTCTATTCCTCGGATTGGATTTGGATATACTTGTTATACGTTCGTGGATAGTTTTTTCACGTAGTTTGAGTCTGATTTGTTGTTTTTCGGTGGTTTTTTTAGTAGTTTGATTCCTTTTGTGGTTCGTTTGCCAGTGCTATCAGATTTGCTTGTATTTATCTTTTTTCGAGTTTTTTTGGTTAGATTTTAATCTTTCCATGTATGGTCCATTGTGATCTTAAGTTGCTAGTTTTGTTTCAATGAATATAGGAAATCGTCCTAATTATGTGCTTATTTTACTATTATGATTATAAATCTTTATTATAATTTAGAATATTTATTATTTTAAATAAAATTAATGATTTCTATCTAAAAAATTATCATTAAAAAAATATGTGTGTGGGTATTTACTTCCTCGCTCTGCCTAACAGAGTCATTCCCCCCAAATATTGGTAGTCTTATAAGAATAAAAGGATAAGATTTTCTTTTTCTCGTTCTTCTTTTTGTAATTTCAATATGCTTATAAATATACATGAGAAGGGAGAAGTTAAGCACAAAATAAGAGTGGCTACTTCTCCCAAAACAATGAAGGCTTTTCCTATCATTTGCATTCTCTTCTTATCCTTCTTCCTTCCTTTTGCTACAGCTCAAGAAGTTTATCATGGTAAGATCATTGCTTTCTATTTTCCTTTTATGATATGATTTAAGATTTCAATACATATATATATATATATATATATTATGAACTTCAATCATATGTTTATTAAAAAATAATACAAATATAAACAATAATATATACCAAATATTATGATGCGATACTCACCCACTTTTAAATAACATGAATAATATCTGGTAACGTTTAATTTTTCAGAGTTCATAATTTTGATTTCAATGATATGTAAAAATTTTGTTTGATATAGTGGAGCAATACGGGCGTTATAATGGTTTTCCGGCACCGAGAAGACCAGGGCCACAACATTCGACTAAATTTGCTTCATGCTTTAAAAACGGAAGCCCTGTGGAATGCCACTCGTCCCCACCACCACCGCACACGATGGCAACGGCAGTGACGAGGGGGGCTATTGTTTATGTTGGACGACGCAACTGCCCTTGCCATCATTGAAACTTCTTTATTTCTGCCTACGTTCATTGTGTGTTACCTACTGTGTTCACTAGGGTGGGATTGAGGTTTGTGTTTGGAGAGTGCTTTTATTTCACTTTTATGTTTTAAATGTACATTTATTTAATTATAGATTTGGTTACTTTTAATCTTCGCAGATTTCCCATTTTAAAATTTAAAAATGGTATAAGATAAAAATTAACTAATTAAAGGATATAAAGTAAATTTATAACTAATGTACAGTATAAAATTAATAGAAGAATTTGATTTAGTAAATTTAACAATCAAAATTTCAATTTTCAAATAATATAATATGACGCAATGCCCAATGGACAGTGTCTATTCCGATGTCGACTTACTTTTATTTATATTGTATTTTATTTATTTTAATAAATCGTAGTCCTAGTCTTAATCTTACCTCAAGGAGAATGGAGACTCTAGAGGAAAGAATTGTGTTGCTAGTAGATCTAGAATCCATGATCTAAGGGTATATGATGGAACAAAAATAATAATTTGACTAACCGATCAAATGTATTTACTCATTTATAACGTTTTACTACCTATGTTAATCCTGGTTAATATAATTGAAATCTTATTACAAAAATATATTAAAAATACTAAATTTAAATACTAAAGACCCAAATTCATAACTTTTTATACAATCTGAATTTGATATGTCTGAATTGAAAATGGCACAAACTGAAAGCACTTTGAATTGAGAGTGACTTGAATTTAATATACCCAAATTTGATCTAAGTCGAATATCGATCGATCTAATTTTAACCCAATAATTAAATCGAAATGAATTAATTCTTTATTTTATCATTATCTCATTTTATCAGTAGCTTCACTTTGTTACACAGGAATTCATTAGTATTTAATACTCTCACACAGGAGTTCATACTCGTGCATGTATCAACATGACACCAAATGCATGAATGGTATTTGATGAAAAATATGTACAACACACTCATCAAACTGTCAATAACAAAGCTTCCTGTTTTTTTGCATGGTTAGACCCTTAATTAACACTCACTCGATCTTACGATAACATACTGATTATGTTTGTGGATCAAGATATCTTCTTTGAGCAATTCTATTGTGTCTTGCATTAAACTTAGGAAAGTGAAAGTTGAGTGTTAATTTCGTGCAAGCCTTTACGATGTGATTTCTTTTCATCGTCTATTCCAATCCTTTGGCTTAATCTTAACTGTAGATCGGGTAACCATTCCATAACCTTCATCACTTTATCTTTGATTCATCTGCATATCAAATAAAGATAAAAAAAAATTATTTATTACCTATAAAATATTAGATTCTAAGATGGAATTTAAATGCATAAAATAAAAGTTCATCAAAAGTGAGGCGTTCAAACATAACATGTACAAGATATGTAAATATTGAATATCAACTAATTGAAAATATTTTAAATGGATATTACATTATAATTTAGAAGCTTCCGGTTATTCTTCATCCTTGAGTCCAACATGTTCCAAGAATCGCTGCCGCCTTCCACCATCTCCTATAAAGTTTCGAATAACATGCTGTCTGGAGAAATCACACCCATCTTCTTCGATCGTTCCTCTATTCTAGTCTTCTGCAATCTTCTGAAATCAGACTTCTCCAAGTTGCAAGTAATCGACCTGTCCAACAATCATTTAACAGGTAAGCTGCCATCCGAGTACTTCAGTGTTTGGAAGCCATGAAAGTCGCCGCTACCAGCAACTTATCACCATCCATGTTTGCAAATACAAGCTCCCATATGGTTACTGTGACATTGGCTCCGAAATCCCAAAAGCCATTAGTGATTTGAAGCCTCATTCGTGTACTGAACTTTTCGAATAACAATCTCGATGGCCAAATTCCATTGTCTGTTGGGAGAAATTTCGAACCTTGAATCTTTTGGACTTTTCTCGAAATAATCTCGCCACCTATCCAAACTAAACTTCCTTGAACCCTTCAACGTTTCTTAAATTTGTTTTCTTGAAACCTGTTGGTTTTGATGAGGTAATTAATATGAACTTACAAGATTTTCCTTCATTTTACTGTAATTAACAATATACTAATTAGAAGATAGCTAAGAAACAGGAGAAAAAAGCCGGAGTAAAAGTAAAGACAAACATTTAGCTGATTTTGAAACTGAAAATCCAGTCCATTATTAATAGCATAATAAGCATTCTCATTTATTTAACACATGATAACCGTAATTGCAAGGAAGCAGTGGAAACAACCTTGCTAGCTCAAATTAAAAGGAAAGCCCAACCATGAAAATGACGAGAAACCTAAAACACTTGGCGATGAAATTAGTGTATCCTATGGGGGTGGTGGTGGGGGGGGGGGGAACTAAGTCCTTTCCTCTGATTTTGCCATGGAAGGAGAGACGGGCTTCATTCTGCCCCTCATGGTTTCCACAAGATGGTTGTTTCTGCAATCATGGAAGTGACAACATATGGATCCATGTTCGAAGCCGGCCTCCTGTCTTCAAAATACCCTTTTCCGGCTTTCTCGGTGTCTCGACCAACACGAATCGATGCTCCACGGTTTGCAACACCCTGTCCGAGAGTTGGAATAGATAAGAACGTTGTAACATTTGTGGAGATTGAAAACCACAGATATTGGACTCGTGCAAAGATGTGTTATCATATAAATTGTCAGAGGTGGTTCCATTTTTTTACCCATAAGAAAGTGTTGATGTCGGCGGTCTCGTGCCTTCCGGTGAGACGGCGCTCGTTGCCTTCTCCATAGGCAGCAATGTGTTCCTTGTGCCTTAGCCCAAGCTTTTCAATTGCTTTCTTGATAACCTCGTAACCTCCATCACTTCTCATGGACATTGTACTGAAAAATCATATAATACAAGCACTTTATTAATCAGTTGTCCCACTAACTTTCCAAGATAGATTCAAATTGTACCTGTAATTTGTGTGAGCGCCGGCACCGTTCCAGTCTCCCTGGATTGGCTTAGGATCAAATGAGAGCACCACTCCAGCAATCTCAGTAATCCTCTGTAATTCAGAAACAGAGATCAAATTAACTCTTGATTTGAGTAACAAAAGTAGATATTTTTAACAAAAGCATGCTAGATCACCTCCAGAATGTAACGTGCCACCCACAATTCATCTCCGGCAGAGATGCCGACTGCCGGACCAACTTGAAATTCCCACTGTAAAGAAAAGATGATAGATGAAGCTTAAACATATTCAATAACTAAGAAACACAAAAGAGTGTATTATACAGTGGTTATACCTGTCCTGGCATCACTTCTCCATTGATGCCACTGATATTGATTCCAGCATATAAGCAAGCTTTGTAGTGAGAATCCACAATGTCACGGCCATAGGCTTTGTCCGCGCCAACGCCACAATAATAAGGACCCTGTCCCCCCAAAGTATCCCACGGACTATTACGATATAATCTTCCAAAATATTTGATATTATTTACGTTATAGATCACCAGAATCAGCGTTATTGCATTAGATTACGAAAGCAAGTTCCATTAGAGATTAATATCATCCATCCACTTGGTGGCTTTCCAATATAAACGCTTTAAAAGCTTTGATTTTTTAAACAATGGTTTGAAAGAGAGGAGTACCTGAGGTCCAGGATAGCCACCGAGAGGCCATCCGAGTGGCCATTGAACATCTTTCTGCAACAAGGTATACTCCTGCTCAATTCCATACCTGTTTCTCTCGCACCGGATTCAAAGCAAATCAACATTAAATCATTGGAAATAGTTTAAAAAAAGATTTGACCCCATCGTTGGGAGTAGGAAAATACCAGGGTTCTTCGGCTGCAACATCGGGATGGCTGAATATCTTTGCAGCGTTGCATCTCTTGTTTGTGGGGATAGGCTCACCGGCTGGTGTGTAAGCATCGCACATAACCTGTGTAAAAATCAGTTCATTGATATGCACAAATCTACACTAAAAAGTTTCCATTTTTTAGCCCCGAAAAAAAAAACACAACTTACAAGAATATTGTTGCCCCTCCTGAATGGGTCTCTGAATATAGCTTGAGGACTAAAAAGAACAAAAATCAATCAATATCTTAGAAGAAACTAAGAGAAAACTAAAGAAACCCAAAGAAAAAAACATACTATAAGATCACTTCACTGTCTTCTCCTGGAGCTTGGCCAGTGCTGGAACCATCATAGTTCCACTTGGGGAGCTTTGAAGGATCGGTAACAGGGCCAGAAAGGGTCTTCAAGTAACAAAAAAAAAAAAAAAGACAAAGAACATCATATTATTACAAAGTAATGAAAAAAAAAACTTTCGGAAAGAGGCGAAATCAATTACCCTTGCTTTGCTTCTGAGGTCCATGCCAGATCCCCCAATCCTATTCGACAAATATAAAACAAAAAAAAAACAGGGAAAAGTTGAAACCATAAGAAAAGTCACCCCGGATATTATTTGATAAGCTATTCAACAACCAAAACAAGATGATAATCAAAAGAGAAACGTTACCCATCGTTTAGATGATCACGAACTGATATTTTAAGTTACAAACATTCACGAAAAATTAGAAGAAGAAAAGTACTTGAAGCAAGTTCATGAAGAAAAACTGTTTGATTATATTAGAGAGCATACAGAGAATGAACAAAACAAACTAAAGAAACCCATTGACCGTAACACTGAGTTAAGCATGTTTATGAGATATATGCACAGAAACAATGATTTTTTATCTTTCTGAAAGGGGATGGAGAGACCGACCAGATGTATTCGGCAATGATTTTGTCAGTACAGTCGGAGAGATTGAGATTAACAAGATCTGCAAGAAGCGCCATATTGATTCTTCCCCAAGCAAATATATATTGAAACAAAGATATTTCTTTTCTGCAAACTCTATCAAACAGAGAAGAAAAAAATACAAAGATGCAGTGGGAGGAAGGTCGCTTCCTGTATTGCCTTTTATAGAACTGTTGAGTTCGGTTGCTTTACAATTTGTTTTTTTTTATTGCAAGTAAACAAGGATATTACTTTACTAAGTAATTTTATTATTAACAATTATAAAATGATCACTTAATTATTCATAAATTTTAAATTTAATTTTTTTTATTAAAAAATTAATAGTGTCTAAGTAGAATGTTAATTTATTGACTGAAATATAATAAATTTAATCTCAAAATTGTTTAAACTGTATTTTTTTGATCAACTCTATGTTTATATTATGGCGTCAAGTCAGTGTTTTAAACATTGTGACATCGAGTCAATGCTTGAAAATAACAGTGATATCACTAGAAATCATTAAAATATGATTTTGTTATATCACAACCAATAGGTTAACGTCCAACTCAAATGGACGTCAATTTTTTAACAAAAAATACAGGTTTTGGAATATATGAATATTCAGATGATAGTTTATAAATTTTAATAATTAAGAGACTCAATAAAATAATATTTTATATTCGATAGATTATTTTATTAATTTTAATATTTAAATGACTCAATAAAATAGTATCTTATAAAAGAAGAAGCATTTGCGTATTTTATCCTAAAATTTTATATTTCTTTGACAATAAAGAAAAAGAATTATTAATTTCTTTGTGCAGATTAAAAAAGTTGGGTGCAAATCGAAATTATCGCCCGTGAAGGGGTATCTTGTAATTAGTCAGAAAAGGCCGGCTGTTTAGAGGTTAAATTACCGGCTCATCCCTTGGTTTATCAATTTTAAATTAATTACTTAAAATAATACCATCTTCTCTTATTTTCCTCTAATTTCGCCTCTTTAGTTAAGTCCCATGTCTCTCAGTGGACGCGGAGGGACGAAGGAAATAATGGTCTTTAACTTCGTATATATAAATATTCGATTAATTTAATTATTAAAGTTCTTCGTTAATTTAGTAAAAAAAACTGATGACGTGACTTTAAAACTATAGGCTTAAATTTCAAGTTTATTCATAAATTATAATTAATAGTTTTAGATATTTAAAAGAAAACCTTAAATTTCTAAAATATTAGAAGATCTAGGAATGACTCGATTCCAAATAATTTGTTTAGTGATCTTTAAGTAAAAGTAATTCTAACTAATACAATGATGTCATGTTAAGTGTTAACTTCTTTTAGGTAGGGATGGGAATAGGTTGGATTTTTTGTCCACCCGATCCGATCCGAGAATAAGAGAGTCTCCACCCGAGACTCGACCCGACCTGACTAAAATAAGGTTTCACTCGATCCGACCCAACCTGAATATATGATATCGAAACCCGACCCGACCCGAAATAATGAAAAAATTATTTTTATTCAATAAAAACAATGACTTAATTAATATATATATATATATATAGAGGGGTATTATTGTAATTATCTCTAAATATATAGGATAAAATTATATATTTTTTCGGGTCGGGTCGGGTCGGATTTTTTTCACTCTAAACCCGAACCCGACCCGAACTCAAAATATTTTTAAAAAATCCGACCCGATCGGGTCGGGTCGGGTTTAAATGCCATCTCTACTTTTAGGGGCTTAACAATTACATATTACATTTTCTAAAATAAAGGGGCAATTGGTCAAGCTTTATTATTTGAATAAATTGTTCCAGCGTTTTATACGAAAATTCAATAGATTCTTTTAATTATTTTTAAAAAAATACTAAAGTCTTTAATTCTTTATTCGATATTGAAAAAATCTAAAAGAAAATAGGAGTTTGTATGGTAAGAATATTAACAGTTCCATATTTGAATCGTCAAACAATCCAAATGTCAACAATTAGAATTTGGAGATCTAAATTTTAGTGCACTCATTTATATGGTTGAACTTGAAAAGTAGGTTGGGGAAATGGGGTTAGGTGGAAGAAAAAATTGGCCATCTAACCATTTGGAATAAGTAGTTTCTCCCCCTTAATTAATTATATATATGTGTGTGTGAAAAAAACAAAGTTGAAAGAACAAAATTAATTTAAAATAGTCAAATATAATTTAGAGGCACATTTATATTTATATTTTGGATAACTAGTATTACTTTATCTTTTATAATGTCACGAGGTGTGAGTTTAGGATATTTTGAATAGAAATATGGTTATTTTTCTTTAATAGTTTAGAGTGATTATAATGTAATATATGTTTGAAATATTTTTTAATCATTAATAACACACATAAACATTGCAGAGCAGAACTCAGGACTTCAAGAAAAAATAACATTCTTTTTAATCATTGAGATCATTTATTAAATATATATGATAAAAATTAAAATATAGAAAAATAAATAATATGATAAAAATATATATTATAATTTTTTATGATGACATAATATAGTATTATAATGTCGTGTTAAATTTTTAACAATAGTCTAATGGTTTCTTCTTCTAATCTTAAATTTAATATCTTATATAATAAAAATATGCCAAAGATTTTTTAGTTTTAAATGTTATGCAATTTAAAGATTTTAAATTTAGGAAATTGATATGAAATAAAACGTTTAAAATTAAACTAAAAATATTAATAAATTTAATAAATAAATAAATAAGATTTATTCCGCATAAAGTACAGTATACTTTTTTTCTTTCTAAGCGCCACGAGCAAACTGTGGCAAAAAGCTTCCTTTTCCATTTTCTTTTGTTTTTAGTTATCCTATCTCTGCTCCAAAGATAAAGGGGAACAATACTTTTGACTAAGCTTCCTCAATTAAAAGAGTAAAAAGAAAAATATAATATTAATATAATAAGAAAAATAATTTAGCTTTTTGAAAATTTAAAAAAAAGGAAAAAAATATTTTATCGAGTCGACAGTGTCGTGGTTTTTTGGACCCGTAGAAGGTCGATCACCCGGAATAGGATATCCATTGTTGAGTGACACGTGGCTGTTTGTAATCCGTCTCCTTCACCGTACAAACCGCGTGCCGTTTGGGTGCATGCACCGTCTCAATACGGTGGCTTTCAATTTCCAAAGTCTTGCTTCTAAGAAATTCGGGTAGTCCTTCTATTATAGGGTATTATTTTATTAAGTATTTTAGTTATCAAAAATTATAAAATAATTTTTTAATTATAAAATATCATTTTGTTGAGTCTCCTAAATATTAAAAATTATAAATTTTGACTATTTATATGTTCTAAATTCATATTTTTTATTTTGAGAAAATAACCTCAGTGACCGAAAATACCTTGTAATATACGATTTTGACCAACTTTTTTTGGACTTGCCAAAATGACCAAGTAAATCGTAATGCGATTGATAATTCGCAACGCGATCTCCGGTATCGCAAATCAATTTCCAGATTCGCAACGCGATAGTCGAAGTTCGCGTTGCGATTCATTCCAAATTGTTGCGATAGGCGAAGTTCGCGTTGCGATTCATTCCAATTCGTTGCGATAGGCGAAATATTACATTTGTTTCTTAAGAATTTTCTCTAAAAATATAGAATTCGCGCGGACGTGTCGAAGACACGTATTACCACAACCACGACCACGACCACGACCCGACCCGACCCGACCCGACCCGAGACTGGACGGCGGCGGCGCGCGAGAGTCCCCCTTGTTCTCTATCACTCAACAAGGAAGTGGGAAAACCAAGCCTTAAATATCATTCCCAATAGTGTTTCCAATACCATTACCTTCATTGTTGTAAGAGTTTAATTTTGAAACTAAAGAAATATTTATTCGAATAAATAACTTACCCTTTGAGGACTTTGATCATAAATGAAGTAATTGCTAAAACTAACTCTGATTCGGGTTCTTATAGTGTTCAAATGACTTACTTGCAAAGAGTAGATGATGACCAAACAACTCGATATGTTTCCTTTGTGTCATTATCAGCTAGTTTTCGTAGTAGCATCCTCAGTTGAAAACTTCCATCATTGTCTCCTTTGCATTTGTTTAGTTAATATTTTTCTTCCATCAAAGTCCTCAAAGGGTAAGTTATTTATTCGAATAAATATTTTTTTAGTTTCAAAATTAAACTCTTACAGACAATGAAGGTAATGGTATTGAAAACAAGTGTTGGTAATGCTCAATCTCACATAGTATTAGAAACACTATTGGGAATGGTATTTAAGGCTTGCCTTTCCCACTTTTTTGTTGAGTGATAGAGAACAAGGGGGACTCTCGCGTGCCGCCGCCGTCCCGTCCCGTGTCGTGGTCGTGGTCGTGGTCGTGGTAATACGTGTCTTCGACACGTCCGCGCGAATTCTATTTTTTTAGAGAAAATTCTTAAGAAACAAATGCAATATTTGGACTATCGCAACGAATTTGAAATGAATCGCAACACGAACTTCGCCTATTGCAACGAATTTGGAATAAATCGCAATGCGAACTTCGACTATCGCGTTGCGAACCTGGAAACTGATTTGCGATACCGGATATCGCGTTGCGAATTATCGATCGCATTGCGATTTACTTGGTCATTTTGGCAAATCCAAAAAAAGTTGGTCAAAATCGTATATTACAAGGCATTTTCGGTCACTGAGGTTATTTTCTCTTTTATTTTTTACGGACGGTTGAGCTGGACGTTAACTTAATCACTATGATATGATACAATTTGATCTTAAAACTGTTTGAGTTATGCTTTGTGAATTGAGTCTTTGTTTCCATTATATCATCAAATCAATGCTTTAAAACATTATGTCGTAGAGCCAATGCTTGAAAGCAACATCGATGCTAATAGGCATCATTAAAATATGAATCATATTGAGTCAGCTTGTTAACGTCCAACTCAGATGTTCGTCATTTTTTTAACAGGACGAGTTTAGAACATATGAATAGTCGAGTAACCATTTTGTAACTTCTAATAATTGGGAGACTCTATAAAGCATCATCCTATAATTATGAGACAAATTTGTAATTTTCAACATTCAAACGACTCAACAAAATAGTGTCTTATAATCGAGACCAGTATACTTTACCTAAATTCTTAAAAATATATATTTTTAGTTAGAAAAAAAAA